AATAATTATAATTCCTATTATCTTTGTTATTATTATTATTTTTATTATTATCCTAATTATTTCTGTTATTAGAATTATTTGAATTATTATTACTATTACTAAATGATTTTATAAAAATATTTATTAATGGGTTTTTATTAGATTCTAATAAAGCTATATATAGAATTTATATATCCCTAAAACTATAAAATAAGAATAATTCTTTGTATATATCAAAAGAAGTAGTTAGATTACCTATAACTTTACTAGATTTTGATAAAATTAGATAATTAATTAAGCTATTATTTAAAAACCTAATAAAAGGATTAATAGAAGATTTGATTTATGATTTTGTATTATATCCAATAAAAAGATTAGTTCATTTTGTGGATATAAATGATTATATCTTATTAATCTGGTATTTCAGAAATTATTTCTTAATTTAATTATAATATCTTTTATATAAGAATACTTTTATAAGAGTATCCTCAATACTCATACTGAGATTAATGTATATCCTATAATATTACAGAATTCTATAAAAATCATAAAGTATTAATTTATTAGTATTCTTAATTCAAAATTATTGAATACCTTTGAAATTATATACAATTATCTTTTAAAGGAATATATTAATAATTTCTGCTTTTGAATATATAGTATTTCTGAATTAAAAATAGCTATTAATATAATGCTCTATTATAAATCTAAATATAAATTCTTTATAGAATTATTTAATTATAAAAAGGTTTTTTAGAAAGAAATAATTCTGAGATTCCTTTTTGAATTTTGTATTTCTTAGATTCTCCTTTTTCTTATTTTAAAAAACTATAATTTCTGGAAATATAGCTTTATTAGAAGAAAAATAAAAAGAAGTATTACTTATTTCTTTATAAAGATTATACTTATTATTTTATAATAAATCAATATTAGTAATGTTATTGTAAGTTCTTATAATTATAGGTATAAATTAATTAGATTGTTTATTAATTTATTTAGAACTAGTATTATATATTGTTGTTCAGAATATTATAATATTAATAATAGGAATAAAAGAGTAAGAATAAAAAAGATAAAAAGGTTTTTTGAATAATTAATTAAATAATTTATAATATTATTAATTAATATTGGTTCGAGAAGGATACGAAAGATGTAATACTTATGTATTGTAGATTCTATATATCTAATTGTATTCTATCTAAAAAGCTAGCTATATAAGAAAATAGTAGGTCTTATATAGGCATTACTAAAAGAATTAATCTCTTTTGCATTTGCTTAATATCTTTAATATAGTAGTTATTGTATTGAAGTCATTCCTTTGAAGTGAATATTCTTGTTCACACAATTTGTTTAATACTTAGTATTATTAAATAACTCTAGTTAATTTAAGGAGTTATAAAGGATATTAAGATTACTCAAGAAATTAAATATTATAAAAAGATTAATAAATTATATTAATATATAATTATAAGGTTATAGAATAATATCATAAAATTTCAACCATTTATTTCTTAGAATTAATTTTTTTTTTATATTAATTAATAAAAAAGATACTCTAAGAAAAATTTTATTATTCAAATATAAAATGAAATAAATAATATAAATAATAAAAGCCTTTAGTCATTTATTATAATTCTGAATATCTATATAATAATCTAGAGCTTATATTAGAGTACTTATATATTTAAAGATTTATTAAATAAATCAAATATTAATAAAAAGATAAATATTAATACTAATATTTATTAATATATAATAATAGATTTAAAAGTTATTAGTTTGTAATTAATAAAAGATAGTAAAGCTATTTCCTTTTATAAAACTTCTAAAATCAATATTTTTGATATATTAAAATTCTTAGATAAAGACTTTTCCAAAAACTAATCTTTTTCTAATTTACATAAATCAGAATTAGAGATTGATTTTGAATAAAATTAATTATTTACAATAAAGAAATTTTCTTCTATTTTATTAATCTTATTAATCTTTATTAAGTATTTGTAATCTTTATTTTAATTAGAAATATTATATATAAAACATTTTTTCTGGGGTTTTAGGAAAATAAGATTTCTGATTAAATAAAACTTTAGAAATTATAGAACTCTTTTTAATAAACTTAATAAAAGCAGATTTTTCTTAGCTTAATATTTTATTAGATTATAAAGAATTTGAAAGTAATCTTTTTAAATATTGAAATATCTATTTTAATATTATCAAGTTTTTTAGATAATTAATATATATTCTTATATCTATCTTAATTAAATAAAAAATATATTTTTGAAAGTCAAAATAGTTATTTATAATAATAATAATTGTATTCTTTAATAATAGAGATATTTTTGTAATTAATTTCCTATAAAGGTTTTTCTTTAATTGATTTAATTTATAATTAATTCTAAAAATTAGATATAGAATTAATAAAATATATTATTATTTATTCTTAAAATTTAAAATTCTTTAATAATTAATTCTAATTGATTAGAAATTAAATATATATTTTTAAAGTAATTTAAAGATTCTATAAATATTTTGAAGTTTTTATATATTATTTTGAACTTAAAATATCTCTAAGCTTTCCTTATAATTTACTAGAAGATAGCTTTTACTTTAGTGTTTTTGTTTGAATAATAATTAATATTATTAAAAAGTTTTTCTTTAATAAATAATCTCTATATTTTGAATATAAAATTAATTCTATTATTCAAAGATTTCAAATCTTTTATTCTAATATTTAATCTTATTTTGGAAATAAGAGAGATTATAAAATCATTATATATTTTTATTAAAAAAAAAATTCTACAGGATTTTCGAAGGTATTTCTATATTATAGATAGGATTTTAATAGATTTAATATTATAGCCTATTTAACTACTTTTAAGTGATAATAGTTTCTATTATATATTCTTTATTCTAATAATTATTCCGAAAATAGCTTTTAAAGCTTAACCATTATTATTATATTAGTACTAAAAAGATTTAAAAGATTCTATCTTAATAAATCTAAAAAAAGAGGGTTGGATTAATTAGGTTTTATTTTTTTGTTTTTTTTATATAATATATTTTCTATACTAACTTTCTATTCTTATTAAAATTATTATTCTAGATTATAACTTTTGTTATATTATTGATGTATTGATATTTAATAAAAAAATATTATTAATTGGTAATAATTAAACAATATTGTTTAAGTAGATTATTAGTTTAGTGATTTCAGGGGAGTATAATTAATTAGATATTATAGTCTTTTCAGGGGATATTCTATTCTTTTTAGGAATATTAAAAGTTTATTATAATATAATAATAATAGAGTTAAGTTATAATAATAGAATAAATTAATTATTATTATTAAAGAATAATAAATTATTATATAAAGAATAAGCTTAAAGAAGATTTTTATAAATTCTATTAAATAGGGTTAGAATAGAACTAAAATAGGATTAAGATTAGACGAAGTGATTTGTTTTGTTTAATAGGGTAAATAGGTGACTAATCAAGGCTTAAGGCTGAATTATCACAAAAAGTAATTATTAATTTTATTATTATAATTATAAGAATTATAATTAATTCTAATCTTATTGAATTTCTATTTAAAATCTAATTTAAACCATTTCGAGATTTTTAGTTATTTTTATATAAGCCTAGAGACAGCTCCTATAACATTTAGATAAGTATAGAAATCATAAAACTATTTAATTTATATTTGAATACTTTAAGAATAATATACATCCTTTATTTTTATTACTCTATATAACATATATATTATAATCTCTTGATTTATTAATATTTTTATTTCTAAAAAAAGAATATCAATATTATCTTAATATTCTTAAATTATTAATAGATTTTACTCCTATTAATTAAAAAAGCTTTTTTACTTATTATTAGAAAATTAGATTAAAAGCTTTAATACTTCGAAATATTATTTCTAAATAAAAGACTTCAAATTTATAACCTCAAAACTATACTAAATCTCTTTTATTCAAATTATGACTCAAAAATAATAATCAAAAGATTATATATCAAAGTTCTATTTCAAATAATAATCCCAAGTTTTAATCGAATATATATTCATCTTTTATTATATAAAAAACTCTTTAAAAAAGAAATAATATTCGAAAATATACTAATATAATAAAGAAAGTTAATAAAACTAATATTCCAACTTACTAACTACTTTTTCAAAAGATTCAAAAAGGATTTAATACTAAGGACTATAAACCTATATAATTTAAAAAACAAATAAAACAATTAAAATAAAAATTAGAAAAGATTATACCTAAAAAAAGAAGGATAATAAAAACTAGTTTAAATTTAAGGTTTACAAAAATAGAAGCTATATATCAAGCTTAAATTGAAGCTAGTAATTAGAAAATTGAGATAAAAGATTCTAATAATATTTATAAAACTAATATTATAGAGGATTATATTAAAGTTAAATAATGATTGAGTTATTAAAGTTTAAAGTTTATATATATATATATATATATTTAGGTGGTTCAAAAGAGGGATGGTCCGAAAGTGGGGTATTCAACTTAAGCAAATCATTCAGCTCCATTCGTACCGCAGAATGTCATCAAGTAAGGACAGGCGAAGACTTCTGAATTTCTAATCATAATATACTCTGTAAGAAACAGGAAAATCAAAAGGCTCGCTGTACATATATTATGTATTGATGCAGGCGACTCACTTAAATTGCATTTTTCCCTAATGAACTTCTGTTATGCCGTGTAATTCACTTACATCGATAGTTACCTATCTACTATACCATTCACGAAGGCAGGCCGCGACGATGATAATTCTAAGATCTGCCAATTCTGATGTGAGAGAGAGTAGCATGATAATTGCAGATAGGTATGTTTTAAAATGAAGGGTAATATGGCTTAAGAGGAATCCAATTCTACCTTGAAAGATATAAAGCCAAATCATCATACTGACACTATCATGATCTTGTACTACAGTGTATTCGAGTTTAAGGAATTCATGGACGCTAGATGGAGTACAATACAATAACTCGCGAACATCTACAATGCAGTCATCTCGGCTGCGACGAAATCGGCCAGTGCTTTCAAAGACTTCCCAGAACCCAGAAGGTCAAAGAAAGGAACATCTATCCTGAATGTAACCCAGAACCAAGATCGAAACTCTGATGCAATCATGCTGTCTACACCGTACATGGCCAAGGTCCTATCCGTGTCAACACGTTCGACAGGAAGCAACATCAAATTGGAAAATCGTTTCTGGATCAATTGAAGAATGGCTGATGGAAGCGACGGCGCTTCAGTAACAGACTTGAAAGCCATTTTTATGTCGGCTGGCACATGGTTCAGCCACTCGACACTTGATTCTGTGCTTTCTATTGCTTCACGGTCAAGGTTGCGGCTACCTTGTGATAGCTTGTGCAATTCAAAGCCAATTGACAAGACGGAAGCGCGGGGATCATCAATTACATTGTGGGTGACCTCAAAGCCTTGCTCCATTAGCTCTTGAACGCGGGCCGACTCCAGACCCGTCAGAATCAGCGACGACATGTGAGGATCGTTTTGTGAGTGAATTAGTGTAGTCGCAGCACCGCCAAGTGCAAAATCCACAATGTGGAGGAATTCCTTCTGGGTGAGAGGTTGTATACCGCGACGATTCAGCAACGCTTCAATTTCTGGGTTCTCGTGAAGATACCCTACCTCGGCGATGTTTCCTAGTCCGATGGAAGTAGCTGGTTTACCATTAGCGCGGCATCTTCGCGTAAAGCTGTCGAGGAAGGCGTTCGCGGCACAGTAATTGCTTTCGGTCGCTGTGCCTATGCTACCCGATACCGAGGAGAAAATGAGGAAGAAATCCAGATCAAGGTCCTCGATGGCTGACTGCAAGTTCCATGTTCCCTTAACCTTTGGTAAAACAGCCTCTTGCCATGCCTCACCTGTCATTTTTGAAAAAATGGACTCTTTGAGACCCATGGAGGCCTGCACAAGGCCTCCAATCCGTTTACCTGAAGAGCGACCGGCTTCGACGAATTTGATCACGTCAGACGCCTTCGAGACGTCACCTTTCAGTACTATGGCGCTCGCGCCGTTTGCACGGATTGTCTGAATGAGCTTTGTTGCTTCGGGTTTGTCGCTGCCGGATCGTCCGAGAAACACAAAATGGCGAGCGCCGCGAGATAACATCCATTTGGTTAGACTTCTACCAAGACCCCCAAGGCAGCCCACGAGTAAGTAAATATTTTCTTGGTCGAATACCGTAGAGTATTCCGCAGGCGCAACCTAATTATGTCAATGGAACTAATCATGAACTGTCCCAGGATGCAAGAAAGCTTACCGAAATGGTGCTACTTTCATCCTCCATCGAGATCACAATTTTTCCTATTCTATCTTTTGCCGAAAAGAAGTTGATTGCTTGGGCTATATCTGTTACACCAAAAACCGTAGTTGGTAGTGCTTCAATCGAGCCATCGCGGAAGAGATCGAGAACCTCGGTGAATTTTCTAGAGCGCCCCTGTCAGTAGCTGCTATATTATGTTCTGCAACTGCTTTGTGGAACAAGTAATTGGAAAATGTTAGACACACTTAGCTAATTTATCTCGGTAAAATTGCTCGTGATGATAGTACAATTCGCTGAGGTCAAATGCGGTAAATGTAGCGTTTCGGAGGAAACCATCCATGTCCAACCGCCCAGCATCCAACAATTCTTTTTTGCCAACTTCTACAAAGCGACCGAAGTCTGCTATACACCTCCAGCTGGCATGCATCAAATCGCCGGTCAGTGAGTTGAGGACAACATTAACACCCTTACCATCTGTTATCTCTCTGATGCCAACCGCGAAACTCACGCTGCGGGAATCGAATATGTGAGAAGCCGGAATGGGAAATTTCTTCATCAGGAAATCTCTCTTCGCCTGTGAGCTGACGGTTGTATAGACAGTTGCTCCAATACGCAGAGCAATAGTTATAGCCGCAATTCCCAACGCGCCAGCACCGGAGTGAATTAGTATAGACTCCCCAAGTCGCAAACTCGCACGATCATAGAGGGCATATAACGCTGTACAATAGACTATAGGAAGCCCTACCATCGTTTCATATTGCTCCCCTTCCTGTATCTTTTGAGCTGCCCATGCTGGTATGCGCTCTGTGGTTGAAAAGTGGATGGGTGCAATGGCTACTACCCGATCTCCAATCTTCAGATGATCGACATTTGGTCCTATAGATGTGACAATACCACTGAACTCCATTGCTGTTGTTCCCCTTTGTGTTTCCATACGCCCTCGGAGTACATACACATCCTTTGCGTTGAGGCTCACTGCTTTGAGTTCGACGTCTACAAAACCGTCAGGGGTTTCCTTACGTTGTTCCCGCACTTCTTTGAAATGAATGGAGTCTGCTACTCCAGGCTCACCAACTACTAACTGCACTGGCTTACTCATTTGTAGTGTCGAATTGAAAGTGGAATGTCCATCCCTAATTCGCGACTGAAATACCGAGTTCAGTCCAGGCTCGGGCACAAAGCGACTCACATAGAGAAGACCTTCTCGAAGCAGGAACTCCTGGTCATCCATCAAGTCAGCTAGACCGATTATATTTGCGATTGCCTGTAGCGTCGACAGGTTATCAGCGCAATTAAGGGGACCGATATCTATGACAGCGATGCGCATCGAAGGCTGCTCTAGCATGAGGGACCGAGAGAGCCCACTGCACAGTGAGAGATTCGGATCACGGCCATCTAGGTTACCGGCTCCGGTGATCCAAAAGTGGGTTCGCATTGTTTCCGTGATCAGATGCAGTCGATTTAGATCTTCTTGCGTCATATTAACTAGGTAACTTCTCTCTAGCTCAACTAGTGAGATGCATATAGTTTCTGGATCGATATTGGGACCAATCTCCTCGAAGAGTGTTATCCGAGCATCATCTAGGTAAATATGCTGCAAGAGATGTTTGGATAGTCGATTAGCAAAATCTACTAGCTCAGGCGAGGGCTCATGCAACTTCTCGCGACGTCAGCTTCATCGTCTATGCACTAGATTTACAGTCAAGATATTTTGACTCACCAGAATGATCGCATATCTGCCTCTGAGCTCTCTGGTTATTGGCGGCTTGCTTAGAAGTGTAATCTCTCCTACTTCGGTCACCCTGAGACTAGTTTGACATAAGGGATCTGGTCCCATCATATCCTTAGATGTGATAATAGTACCATATTCGCGGAGAAGACACTCCAGATTCAGTACTAATTGTCCCTTTATCTTCATCATGTAACAGTTAGCCTTGTACACCTTAATATTTTGAATATGAAAGTAGGGCATCGAGCTTTGCTTACCATTGGCAAGATGATGACATCGTAAAACCCCGCATGAACATCGGCATTGTCAATGGAATACTTCTCGTCATCATCCCAGGAATATATATCCCAGACTCTAAAACGAGGAAATGCCGTGCCGTCGCCTAAGAGCCCTTTCCAATGCTTTTCGAATTTGGTAAACTCTCCTAGCACCAAAACATGCATTCGTGGATTCTTGTGTCCGATCATATCCAGTACTGCACTTATTGTGTCAAATTGATTACTACTGACAAGCTCGAGGGACTTCTCCCTGACATATTGAGCCACATAATCGTTGAATTGCTTTTGTGTATTGGTGGAGAGACGCTGAATATCCGGTTTCCATTGCACTCGCAAACACGGGTAGCGTTTTGGAGATGCAAATAGCTCTCGTGATTTCTTAGCGCCGCTACCATGAAAAAGGGCAATCTTTGCATTCTTTACTTGCACTATAGGCAGCTTTTTGGGGTTAAAGAGTGTAGAGTCTATTCTTTGCGTGGAAGCTCCGCTTTTAGTAGACATCGCATGAATCACACCCTCCGATTGGTAGTCTTCGAACTTCACAGGGAATATCTGGCACTCGGGGAAGAATACTGGCAAATACGCTTTCAGGTTCTCTGGGTTACCTGCTGCTGTGCTCATGATTGCTAATTGAAAGCATGCATCGAGTGTGATAGGATGAATCTGGTACTTTTGCGAGACATGGTTGGCTACAGGAGGTAATAGACGAACGGTGCCAACTGCTTCTGCTGAATCTGTTACTTTGCTAGCATGTATATTGCTTACTGATCGGAAGTGTGGCCCAAAGCAAAGGCCAGTGGTCCAATACTTGTCATAGTAGTTTGAAACATCTTGTTGCGTCGAGTGGTGGACCCCAGGAATCTCGACGGTGTATCTTGCACGATCTAAACCGATCCTACGTATGCTGCCGATACAATGCGTGTCTGTCTTATCAGCTTTCCAGGAAGCGATGGAAAAATCGTACCAGTCGCCAGAGACACTTGCTGTTGATATTCTGCGTGGAACGACAGTAGTTTGCAATTCAGTTAGTTCGATGGTAGCATTTGTCTCGGCCACGACAAGTGCAGTGTTGATGCTGACGTTTCGAAATTCGAAGCCCTCTGACTTATCATCCTGCGCCGTTGATGCAATCTGTGTCATCGCTTCCACAATCATAACGAAGTATGCCGCTGCTGGAAAGACGATCTGAGCTTCGACTTTGTGATGACTAAGCCAAAGGACTTCATTTATGTGGAGTGTATTCTGCCATCTCCATTCATTTGGATGTCCCCCAGGCTGAATCGACCCAAGGAGTTCGTGGCGCGGATAATTCCTATTGCGTGACTCTCGATTTAGTCGCGACTCTTCCCAAACTAGTCCAGCAGAATAATCCCACTGATAAGGCGTCAGATCTTGGATGGGGCGCTGATACTGGATGGGAATTTGGTTGATATTACTCCAATTCAGTGGGTATCCACGTATGAAAAGGCTACCAGCTAGACATTTGATGCGAAGGTTAGCATCGGCATTTCTCTCTAGCGTGTGGGTGTAGAGAAGATTTTGATACTTCAGACCAAGTTGCGCTCGAGTTTGCTGAATAGGACCTTTGAGTACAGAATGCGGTCCCACCTCAAGTAGGTGCAGTGTTGTGTCTGTAACCATGGTGGTTAATGCTGAATGGAACTGGACTGGCTTCTCAAGATTGCTTCGCCAATACTTGGCGTTTGCGACAGATTGACGATGACTCAAGATATCCAAACTTTCATCGTCGTACCCAACACTGGAATACATCTTCCGTAAGGAACATGTTTGCATGGGATGGGTTTTGAAAACTGATTCTATAAAACGCTCATAGACCTCCCCAACCTCTTTCATCATAAAAGAATGGTACGCACATCCACTGGTACGTAGTAATCGTGCCAACTTATTCTGCTGCTTGATCTTTGTAGTCAAAAGTTCAATACCAGATTTTGTCCCGCTCAAGGTCACACTTTCAGGTGCGTTGACACATGCTACACATACTTCTCCCGATAAGCCTGTTTCACGGATCAACTCGGTGGCAGATATGACACTTATAGAAGCAGCCATCATGGCTCCCGAAGTGGTCAATTGTGACACAGCATAGCCTCTGAAGTAAGCTATCAAGATGGCTTCCGTGGCATCGATGAATCCAGCTGCATACGCTGCGGCAATTTCTCCCGAAGAGTGACCAATAACGCTGGAAGGTCGTACGTTCCAACTCTCAAGCATGTCTACAAGGGCAATCTGAATAGCAGTGCAAAGTGGTTGGCTACATTCAACTTCATCCACTCGACTGCGATCTGGAGGATCCATAATCAATTGCTCCAATGTCCAACCTGGAGCCTGTCCCTTTGGTAACGAGTGAATGACCTGATCCAGATGTCTTATCGAGGCTCTGAAAGTTACATTATATTCAAGCAGTCCTTTCGCCACTAAGATGCTTCTTGTTAGCAGCTACTCTAAAATACAGACGGTAGAAATTGCGTCCAAAATAGTTTTTTGGTGCTTGAGATCTGAAGTCATCTGGGAGAAATAAAATAAAACCTACTATTCGTATATTGAGAGCCTTGCCCTGAGAAAACGAAGCCGAAAGGTGGCTGATTGCCATCATGTAGGCCATCTTCGATTGCCGACTCAACAATACGTTGAGCGGATTCTTGTGCTGAAATCTTATCCTTGGAGCGGTCGGCTATTAGATATTGGCGATTGTTGAAGTGAGTTCTGCGTTCCGCTAAGGTATATGCCAAGCTTGGTATCAGATCTGCCTCACGTGTTTTAATGAATTTTGAGACATGATGTATACGTGCGTTCAACGAAACAGACGAGGCTGCTGAGATAGGCATTAAAAACAACGGATCATGTAGATTATTGTCATTCACATATTGCCCCGTGCTGTCATAGATACTAGCGTCTACAGCCTCAATAATTGCATGTGCATTTGCACCGCCGTACCCGAAAGAATTGACACTAGCTCTGCGGAGAGATCTTGGCCACTCATGGACTTCAGTTGCAACTTTGAAATTTAATTCTTTAAGCTTGACTGGATTCCAGGGTTAGTGTTCCACTAGACTTTTCTCAAACATGTGTTGGGGACTTACGCTCCGGGTTTAATGTCTTCAACCCATGTGTTGGCAATATCTTCCCGCGACTCAATGACATAGCGACTTTGATGACTGAGGTTAGACCACTAGCTGCTTCACTATGTCCCAAGTTTGTTTTCACCTATTTGCGATTCCAAAAACGTTAGCCCATTCCTTCAATAGAATCTCAAGCAGACGTTGGAGGTGTTATAATAGAAAGAAGTTTGCAATCGAGTGGCTACTTACCGATCCAATAAGGAGAGGCGATCCTTGTCTTCCAGCAAAACAACGGCCGATAGCGTTCACTTCGATGGGATCGCCGACTGGTGTACCTGTACCGTGGCATTCGAAGTAGTCAGTGTCACACATATCAAGTTCGGCACGAGAATATGCCTTTCGAATGACAACCTCTTGCAAATCCGAACTTGGCTGCGTAAGACCTGGCGTCCTTCCATTGCTGCCAATTTCAGTCAGTGACTTCTCTCTTGAATCGTCTGCAACTCGGCATACATACGCATTCACAGCGGTACCTTTGATAATGGCAATAATGTTGTCTTGCGCCTTCAGAGCAGAAGACATCTGCTTGATGTACAATGCATTAACTCCCTCCGCTCGTCCATAGCCATCGGCACTTGCATCGAAGGTATGACAAGTCGAGGTAGGCGAGATAACACCAGCCTTCGACGTGGCAAGTGTCTGCTCGGGCGAAGTGATGAGGTTAGCACTTGCGACAATAGCGCTGTCACAGTCACCATTTTTAATGCCGTTGATAGCCATGTGAAGGCAGTACATAGATGAAGAACACGCTGTGTCCAAGGTAAAACTAATATAGTTAGCTTGATTCTAGGACATCTTGTTCCATCGCCACTTACCTCGGTCCTTTCAAGTCAAAAACATGACTTATTCGGTTTGCTAGAAGGGTCGTACCACAACCTACAGCTGAATAACGATGGATTCCATCCAAGTCTCGTTGTTGCGTCATGATATGGTCCACGGTGAAATTTCCAACGTAGACCCCTACATTGGTCCCGGAGATAGTCTCCTGTGACACACCGGCATTCTCGATACACTCGTAGACTACTTCGAGGAGCTTTCGCTGTTGTGGATCCATCGAAGCTGCCTCAAGGTTATTGATGCCGAAGAAGCCATTGTCGAACTGTCGTACGTCCTCTTCTAAAAAATACCCTCCATTTGTGTTCATTACCCCGCTCTATTTCCATCGACCTCGTAGAAGCCGTTGATGTCATACCTCTGACTCGGTACAATTCCCTGGCCGGATTTATTTTCCAGTAAGAATTCCCAGAGATCGGAGGCCGAAGCGATGCCACCTGGAAGACGGCAGCCTAATACATTCTTATGAGCTTCTAGATGCTGTAATAGTCATTGGGGTATTACAGATACGTACCTATACCTACTATACAACATGGATCATCCTCTTGGAATATTTCCGCACCATGGCAAGTAGTCCCATGCGATTGGTTACCATCGGTTGAGTCACATGATGTGACTTGTGTTGCACTCATCTTGATTGTTGGAGTCGCCAGTTAGCGTTTGTTTCGTGAGGTAGTAAAATGTCCGCTGAATACACTTGTATGTTGGTAGTCAAAGTTGCTTGAAGTATTTTGCAAATCCGACACTCCCAACAGCAGACGTGCTTTTTTATTCGGAAATAAGCCCAGTTAGTGGATAGAGACAATCTTAGCACATATTTCGATTCGGCTATGACTTCGGAAGTACGGCTTGGCTAGTATAGCATGAACAATAACAGCCGTAAATACATTTTGCAGGTCTAAGGCACAAGAACTGACACCAATCCTCAACCAACACCCCCACCACCCTGTATCTTTTCCAATTCCCCCATCTCTTATTGTAACCTTCCTTTTTTTCAACCCCCATTTCACATTCTTGACAGGTAGTGGCGGATGATATCCAGTGCTACCTGCTCTGATCTTCCTACATAGTTCTTTAGCACCAGATTGTGCCTCTCTAATACAGATTCACACCTGCAATTTCAATTTCAGCTGTATCTTTTCTCTGCAGTTGTGAGGCGCAAAGCCGCATTGGAAGAATCCCCTCCTATCCCCATGTTTGTATTTTCTATTTCGCGCTGATTTTATCTGTCCTCTTTGCCCTAGGCTCTAAGTAGATATATTCTCCCATATTCTGTATTCCAGGATAAGAGGAAGGGGGGCGAGATTTATCCGATGCTGGCGTAAACTGTTGTTACACTGTGATTGGGTGCTGGTGAAAATACCAGGAATGGCACACCTTGCATAGAATCATCAGAAAATCTATTTTATACGTGCTCTGATTTAATACAGATATTGCACCGATCTGACGAGTAGCCTAGCAGGCGATCGTAATAGATGGGGAGATAATATACCGTCTTACTGCAGCATAGCCTTTTGAAAGGAGCACTGGGGCACGAGATTGGAATATTGAGAGGACGTCGTATTGTATAAAATGGCACTACCACACTTTGTTTTAGCTTAATTCCAATGTTCATGCGTGTGGGTTACCTTGTGATTCAAGTAGTAAGTCTACTACCCCAATTTTCGCGCCTCCCCTTAATTCTGCTAGATTTGATTATTAGTATGGGGTACTGTTTTGAGCTACTATCTCTCGAATTGCGACAATTACTCGTGTGTGTATGATGTTGTTATGAAGAAACAAAATCTGCATTCGTAAGCATTGGCACAAACATGAGGGATCTGTTCGTGAGGCTTGATTGGTTTTGAGTAACCATTGCCCCTGTCACCGAATTTCAGATCGAGGCTGCTCGATGCACCACAGTTGTATTTGCATAAAAAGCCAGGAACTTCGCAATATTTAGAGCTGGAAAGATTAAACGAGCGCACACTTCCAATATTAATAAAAGAAATGCGGAGGAAAATAGGATCGGCAAGAGTGTGTGTGATTCTCGGAGTTGAAAGCCATTCCTGGAAATTTTGGCGCTTATTTTTGCATGCACCCGTTTGTATGCGCCTTTTTTTCTGAATGGCTCACACGCAAAACTGAAACGCAATACACCGAATTGGCCGGATTCACTCGGTGTTGAGGTTCTTAATATGCTGGATGGCGAAAAATAATTATGTCCTGGGATTTCTAAGATAATTGATGATGTTACATGTCAAGAAGAAATGTACTGATTTTGACGGTCATAAACCGAAAGCTTTACATGAAGCCCTGTTCGGCAACGGAAAAGGCATCAGATTTTGGTGAGACGAGCAGTGAACCCCAAAACAATATACTAGCATTGAATAAATATGCAAGGGACTATGCTTCGTAGGATCAACTTGTGCCTCTGAGTTAATTGCTACCCGTTTCAAGGTCTGGGTCATCAGCCATTGGTGTTGGATGATGATAGTCGCTAGTCCAAAAGTTATGCCACACTTAGGAAGTGGTTAATCAGTCATATATAATCAATGTTCATGTCAACAGAGGAGTAGCTAGCTATAGTAAGATATTTATTCTCTGCATTCATTACCACAATAAAACCTCTGTGGTCTTATTTGTTCCAACTAAAGCCTTTGGAGCCGCTTATTACGATTTTTTTATACTTGCTGTTTTAATCATCGCCTGATTCTGGTGCGCTTCGATTCGCAGAGCTGTCGAGCAAAATCGTCATGTTGGAAGCTACTTCCCAAGGAGACGTGCTATTCACGTGGATTGTCACCTGCACAACTATCACCACTCTAATCATCATTCTTCGATTTTGGGGGGTATGGCTGACAAAGCGTCAACTTGGCCCTCACGATGGCCTGGTGGTTTTTGCCTATGTAAGCCCCCATCTCTTACTCTGTGCAGAACAGAAGGGAAAGCTTGAACTGATGATCATTAGATAGACATGGTTATTGATGCCGGCTTCATGATATGGGCGATTGTCGACGGTGGGTTGGGAAAGCATGCCGCGGTGCTTACCACCGCCGAAATGGCAGTTTTAAATAAAGTTAGTCTAGCTTCTCCTCACCTAAGCTATTTGTTGATTGTATGAATTAACATTCGAAATTAGTTGATATTTGTGACTAGTATTGTGTGGACTCTGGGGAACGCATCTGCGAAGCTCTCCGTGCTTCTGCTCTACAAGAATATCTTTGTTGGCAAGACTTTCGAGCGTGCCTTGTACGTTATTATAGCTCTGGTTTCGGCGTACGGCATCATTTTGTTGGCTCTTTTCGTCTCCCACTGTAAGCCAGTATCGCACTTCTGGCATCTTACAGCCCCTGGCTCGTGCCGCGATATCTCTCATGAAGAACTAGCATCAACAAGTCTTAGTCTTATCTTCGACCTCATCATCATCTTGCTACCCATGCCTGTGCTTTGGCGATTACAAATGACGGTATACAAACGAATTGTCCTGACTGTAATGTTCAGTATTGGTCTGATGTAAGTCCAAAAAATTCATTCGCAAATTTCCCTAGTCAAAGGTACTCACATCATGTATAGCACAATTGGTGTCATGTGTTGGAGGATTGACGTAACAGTTGAGAGTACCAAACCAGACTACGATTTTTATTTCCACCTACCAACTTTAGCATTGATTGTTATGTTGGAGTTGTGGTTGAGCATCATCGTCGCTTGTGTGCCTACGTTAGCGCCGGTGATGCATACATACGTCACTCCTCTTGTCTCCAAGCTTTCTAGTCGAGGAAGCTCAGGACTCCTCCAAACCACGCCAGCTTCTTCCCGGGAGACAATTGGGGTGAAGCGCTCGAGGAAGAGATATTTGGTGTTGGGTGGCAGCCAAGATCTGCTAAATACTCGTTTTGATGGTAGTACGAAAACAGAGGTCACATCTGACAATCTGGCGCCGGTAGATGTGGTACCTGGTGGAATAAACATGAAGAAAGACATCGAATTGAGAAGATTTTAGCTTTCAAGAAGTTGGATGAACTTCTGTTTATCGTGGTGAAGTATAGACGATAAATTCTGGTGGATGTAAAATCCTTCAAAGTCATACCAATCTGCAGGTAATCGATCCTGTTTAAGAAGGATTTCGAATGGAAATATAGCTGGCTTGGATGTTATGGGTGAATAAAAACTGTTGTATATTTGAATAAATTTCATGCGGATCGCTCTTCGATATCCAGTGCTACAGAAATATGATTTTCTTCTACTGATCGCGGCTTTTAGAAGCTCGCTCAACTGTCCTCGAAACTCGCAAAAGTATTTCCATACGAGAATATAGCTTCATCTATGCCTCAGTCTACTTATAACGGAACAATGATAAATTCTGAAGGGGGGGGGGGGTTACTCCTGGCTGGGATTTGCTGCGAGAAGGTAACACAAGATTTCTTCAAGAATAACCATATTTTTTCTTACAGTTTTAAAGGAATCTGTTCCATTAAACTTTTTATTGTCCTGTCAGTTCCCTAGAATATGTTGACTAAGTGTCATAATACTACTGGTGTTTGAAGTTTATGCTTTTCACGAAAGAATATACAAGAGCATTGCTGGGTTGGAAATCTTAGAAAATGATGTATTATTACTAGGAAATAATGTGGAGAAAGAGATTGTTCTAAAACACTTTGTGATAACAAGCCCAAGATTAAGTCGGCATCGCTACCAATCCCGGGTTTCCCAGAATATATTGGAAAGGAGCTTCTGATCATTAATCACACACGTGTGATATCTTCTACTCCTGGAACCCCTCACTGTTCGATCTATTCCACCGAGTCCTGCCAATTCCAGACCAGGCCCTTTGGGTATTCTTTCCACTGCATATCTTCATCCAAAAGTTTTACGATTTTACTCCACTCTTCCTTCACGCAGGCTGCTTTCTTTGGGTCGCGTGGGACAATATCAGCATCAAATGGTTCCGGGGCTACAAATAGACCCTCTGTCAAGTTCTCCATATCAGGCACTATCTCTTCATTGGTTTTTTTATCGACAGCTCTTCTGAAATCGAATGCCCAAAGAAGCCGGGCCATAGCAATGAACATAGAGCGATCGGCAATGTGCATGCCTTGACAGAGTCGACGTCCCTGTAGAATGAGAATAGCACCGGGTTAGCATTTTCCTGTTTTAAACGTCGAATAAAATTCACAGGAATGCATGTAACTCCTAGCGATTGGTTTGCATGGAGGTTAAGATGTCACTTACAGCACCGTACACAAAATGGTCCCTCTTTGTGACATCCGGGTTCGTCGCTGCTTCAGCTGATGTCTGATTATCATGACTCCAACGACTGGGGTCAAACCTCCTGGGATTATGATGCCGCTGGGGATCATTGTGAATAGTCCTATGCTTCACGATGAGTATAACATGCAATCTGACTTCCGACGGGTTGCTTTACCAAACATTGAAAATGATCTCAGCATTCTTAGGGATCTTATATCCGTTATAATAATCGTCACGGCTAAGGGAATGAGGAACGCCGAGGATGTCGGTAGGCATCCATCTTAGGCTCTCTTTTACACATGCTCGAATGTATGGTAAATTTTGCATGTCCTCTAATTCGGGAAGACGGTCTTTGCATACGGCATCAAGCTCAGCTTGTGCCTTTTTGCTAACCTCTGGGAATATAACCATTGCTTGAACGAATCCTAGAAGCACTGCAGACGTAGTTTCGGAACCTGCTTGCAAGAATGAACCACTAATATATGCGCCAGACGTGTCCGAAAATTTCTCTTTCTTCTGGAGTTTAATGAGATCCGAGCAAAAGCACGGCTGACAAATACATCAGCATAATGAGATGCATAAATGACTGCTCTGCTTACCACTTCTTTGCCTTCATCGAAGCTCTTTTTGACGTTCTGATACTCGTCCAAAAACAATTTGTGCTCTTTTGCATGCAGCTGCCTTGCGTACCTCCTGATCGGCAGAACAAAATCGGGAAGATGTCGTAAAATAGGGAAAATGTCAAGAATATTGGCAATCTGTTTGGTCAAAGCCGTCAGTGATGCTTCAAATTAACTGTGTTCGGCGGAAAGACTTTGAATGTATCATATCATAATTCCCTGGCGAACAGCTATACACAATACCCAGAACATTATAACAGGGGAAGAAACCTACCTGACTTCCAGCTAGCTCATTGAAACTTCGAAACCCCTTTGAAAGATTAGCCATATTGTATTCTCAAATATTCTCGGCCATGTAACCTCACATCAAACATTTGCCTTGCCCGTGGATCCTCCATGGTCTTCATACGAAATCCAAAAGCCATTTGGGTAGTCAATGCAGTGGTATAACGGCGAACATGATCAATAAATGCGTCAGGTCTTTCTAACATGTCCATAAGCATGGCCTTATTCTCAAGATCCTGATAAGGAATATATGTATCAGTGACTTTGATATTGAGAATTCGGTGAGCAAGTGTTCTAATTGAGCGTAAAGTCTCGTTGTACGGCTGTCCAGATTTCATCAGCTACTTTACTCTGGTAATATCAAAGAAAAGATATAGATTATACCATAAGCACCACACGAGCGCCTCCACTAATAATATCCTGAGCTATATATCGTTCTGGTCTCGAAGAATATATGCCACCGCGTTTGTCCAGTAGATCTTTTACGGCCTGGTCAGTAGATAGAACGATGACAACCTTAGTTCCCAAAATAAGAGAATAGATTGAGCCGTATTCCTGAGCCCATCGTTGAAATTGGAGGTGTGCTTTGTTTCGTGGCATCTGGTGTAGGTTCCCAATAATGGGCAATGTTGGTGGACCAGGGGGATAGCCCCTGGGCCTTTTCCCGGTAGATGTAAGTAGAAGAACTACCAGCAAAGATATGATCGCAAGACCAGCAAAACTATAGAAATCCATATTGTAATAATTATTAAAGGCGGATTTTCATAGGCAGATGGGATAGTGAGAAATAAAACGATAGAGTGCCTGTGAACTGACGGGAGTTTAGGCCTTATAGCCTTCCTATACACCTCCACGATGACAAGAATAATAAAGATAGAAATAATAATCTTAAGGAGATAATGCCGGATCTGAATTTCAATTCTGAGCACGTGAGTAGAGTATCTGCGGTTCAATTCGACCTTTTCGGAGAAGATTTTGTTTCATTGGACAATTGATTGAAATGTACCTCGGGGCTACATGCCTCGAAGGTTGCCGTCTGGCACACATGGGTAGGTTTATAATGAACTAGTAGGCTTCAAGCAGGGATTTAAGTAACAAGAACAATAACTTGCAATTCGTGAATGATGATACACTGACTGAATGATCAATATCAAACACAAGGCCTTGCAGTAAGAGGCCCCATCTTAATCACATCGACCTTCATACCAAATATTCCAGTGCCCCCATCTGTCCCAATCCCATGATTAGCATCACTTGAATTCTCAAATAAGTACTTGTTAAATGGCCTAAGTTTGAGGGTCGTAAGGCCTAGAGAGTCATGTAACATGCTACGTAATATTAGAAGACCTGGTTGATGTGTAATATATCTTGCATGTCATTCACTTCTTCAAGGATCTAAATACAATTTGATACTGTAAGGGGTTGTCTCGGCGTAATGGAGAAGAACAGGTTGTCGAATCGCTCTACCGGCCTTCAACACAAGTTCCTTGCTCAACATAGAAGGGGGAAACAATAATTGATCAATTAATCATTACTATATTAATTAAGTTACTTGTGAGTTCAAGAATACCGAGATCCACTAGCCCTAACAGAGCTAGCAGACCTATAGTACTTACAGAATGCTCGTATTCAACACTGGTAAGTTTAAACGAGTTGGTGGCGCTAGGTTATACCCAAAAAGGGGAATTGCTGTAGCCGAGAATATGTAAGATAGATTTCAATATCACTCTCAACTACACAAATAGATTAATGTGACATACAAACGGTGACACAATTTTGTCATTTCTGTGCTTGTTGCCACTCGGCCTGATGTGGATGTGCGGCTCAGCATAGTCGGTGTGATGTGGGAATCTTTTTATATCGGCATTTGGCTGCCGAAATTAACCGCCTCGAGCCTGCAGATAAAACGTCTGTAATCTGCACGAATCGACCAATGCAAATTCTACACCGAAAAGAATGATACCCGACGTATTTTGGCAAATCAACCAGCTTGACGCGCATACTATGTTATGGCAAAATTTGAGGCACAGTGTAGTATTGTATGTATGAATCGGAGCACTATTACATGACACGGGCCGATGAAGATGTCAGCAATGGACTAAAATGCCACACGTATTATGCAAATCATCCTTATCTGCGGCGGGTGAGGCCGTTGCGGTTCGATATGAATCCTTTTCTAGAGTCTGTTAAGCATCCGCTCTTGTCGCCAAATGGATTCATGTAAAGATTCCCTGCTTCGTAGTTGCATATTTTGTTCCGGAAGAAACTCCGAAGACTGCAAGATTTATCATTGGGAGAATAGGATCTTATGATACATACTGTCGGATAAGCGGGGTAACTATTAGGCCTTTCCCCGCCGATATTGAAAAGTTACAGGGGCATTGCTTATGCCAGGGGGTTTTGTATGATTTACAACGGAGCAACCCCAAGTATGGGGTCGTGGAACCTGCCTCTCCGCCTGTCGATTCAACCAACTTAGGTAGGAGGTAACTTTAACATAGAAAAAGCAATATTTTCGCACTAATAGTCGGGCTTCCATGGATCACCCGCCTCGTTCCAAGTCGGGGAAAGCGAGTTGTCCCCTGCCCCAGCCCAAAAAAATTTCAAGTTAGAATAATAAATTTATCGGTAAAAACCCCGAATGTCATCATTTCATGTATTGATACCTCAACTAGCACGTGACAGAACGAAATATCATCATTTCGTTACACTATCGCTAAATTTATAGGCTAGTAAATCTCAAATCTAATACACAACCTTTCAGGAATTAATGAAATAAAAAGAAAAGTTATAAAATTAATGATTAGAATTCAAGAAATTCAACAAAATTAATTATTTTGGATTATCTCTAAAATTGAAATTAAAATTCAATTTAGTAGTATTTCAGTAATAGGGGGGTTAGCGCTAAAGCTTGATCATTGTGACAAAATCAATTGGAAAACTACTAAATTAAATTTTAATTTCAATTTTGGAGATAATCCAAAATAATTAATTTTGTTGAATTTCTTGAATTCTAATCAATAACTATATCTCTTTTCTTTTTATTTCATTAATTCCTAGAAGGTTGTGTATTAGATTGAAAGATTAATAAGTGTTACAAAATACTAGTTGAGATCACTTTAGTCATAAATCTGACATTTGAGGTATCAATACATGGAATAATGACATTCGGGGTTTTTACCGTAAATTTATTCAATTTTAATCAACTTAATCGTACAAATTCAACGGTGAAATACTTGTTCAATTAATCCAAAACTGATTGAGTATCAGATAGGGGACACTCGCTTTCCCTGATTCGGAACGAGACGGCCGATCCATGGAAAGCCGACTATTAGTCCAAATATATGTTGCGTACTTCGTGTGCTGGACGTGGACATCTTAGCTTTTTTAAGTTCCAAACACTGGGTTAAAATTAGGGAACACGGAAAAAATGCGGTTCATTCAATTGGCTACCTAGTTAACTACATGGGGGAATGGGCTTGCTTATACAAGCCATTCACCACAAAGGAAAGGTCATAAAGCAAGGGAGCTAGGCTTCATATAGCCTAGAATCTTCACATGCGACAAAAATATCGTGTACTAAACGAGCGAACGACTATCCATTGAGGTGGAAAGTCCTGTAGAGTAGTGAAATGAGATATGGATCAGCAACCCAATATCAATATTTCCAGCGAATGTGTGGCGGACCTTCTTATCGCGGAATACACTCGATTTTCTTATAGCGATCATTGTAGAGTCGATAGAATTATCCCTGCAGCATGTTCTGCAATGGCGTAAACAACTCCTTGAGGATTTGAGCGAGGTGAAATAGGCATGATACTTGCATCGCACACACGAAGATTAGCACAGCCGAAGACTCGGAGCTGTGAATCGACCACACCACCAAGCTCCTCAGGCATCATGGCGCATGAACCTGTCCAATGGTGGGCGCCTGCAGCTCTTTCTAAAACATAATTCTTGGCAATCGTGATGTCAGCAAATCCTCCAGCTTTCGGCATACCAGGGCTGCGTTTCCCATCTGGTTTCAAATGGTTGGAGAGAGGCTCCGTCATGGCAATCTTCTCTGCCAGCTGAATATGCCGGGCAAGTATCTCAACATCGAAGGGATGTGAAAAGAAATTTGGATCGATTGAGACGTCTGACGAGGAAAGCGGGGTTGAAGATGATTTAATGTGCACCGAGCCACGAGATAAAGGATGCGCCAGATGGATGCCCATAGTAAAGTATTTCTCTGATCCAGGCTCAGGAGGGACAAATGATCCAGCACCAGAGAGGCACATAAAACCGGGCACGGTCATGTAACATGCAGAGGCTTCTTTTGGAGAAGTGACAACAGCTCTTACGAATGCTTCGTGTGATTTTACAAGAGATGCGGATGTATCTGAATGCTGCGGCAGCATCTTATCCAAAGCCTGCTTCAACTGGTCATCCACTTCAACTGGTAGTTGAGCAAGGACATTCAAATTGCTCTTCGATCCTGGTCCAACGCCTTTTGCATATGCTGCTTGTACCTTTGAGATAGCCTCTTTATCCTTGCGTAATATCTGATCGATCGTGTCAAATCCCTCCTCATCGCGTGCTTCGAAGGTGACTGTGACAAGAGGATGATTTTGCAAGTGCTCGCCAACGTTAGGATTGTTAACCATGACATCTATTCCAAGAGACTCAAGGATCTTTGTGTCACCAACGCCTGATAGCTCAAGTAATCGTGGGGAATTAATCGCCCCCCCACAAAGAATGACCTCTTTGTTTGCCAAGACTGAATTCGAAGTTCCAGTTTCGTTATTGCGAACCGTAACACCAACTGCAGTGGGAGTCCCAGAATCGGAATTCTCGAAGAGAATTCGTTCGGCAGTAACTTTTGTCCAAATGGTGAGATTACCTCTTGAACGAACTGTCTCGTCCAAGTAAGCTTTAGCCGAATGGCTTCTCTTCTTGTCAAGACCAATTGTTTCTCCTCCCATTACGCTTCCCAGGACGTTACCAGAAGTCAATGCATCCTGAGCAGGCGGGAATCCAAGTGTAGCAAGAGTATCCCTCCATACACGGGGCCACTCTGTATCCTCTTCTGGTATAGTAATCTGGAGAGGGCTTTTGGCGGGATTATTGGTGGATGCGGATGTGGCAAGAGTAAACCGGTTCATAGACTTGGAGAAGGCTTCCGCGTCCCAGCCTGGATTACCAAGGTTGGCCCAAGTCTCAATGCTCAGCTTGGAGTTCGGTAGAAAGGCGAAACCGTTGATAGCGCTTGATCCTCCAAGCAAACGACCAGCAGACGCTGAATTAGTGCGATTTCCAATATTGACCTTTGAAATGATTAGCAGTGCAACTGTAGACTGCTTGGAGTTGGAACTCTCTTACCTGGGGAACAGTTGAGAAACCCCAGTTGGCATCCGTAGCCATGAGAAGAGCACCCAATGATGGGACATTGGTGCGAGGGTCACTCGTCAGGTCTTCTCCAGATTCTATAAGGAGTATACGGTAACGTTCACTCTCTGAGAGCCTGTTTGCAAGTACGCAGCCGGCTGTCCCGCCTCCCACAATGATGATATCGAAATTTTGGGAGGTCATTGTGAACTTGAGGGTGAGTCGCAAATCTTGATGCTCAGGCTTTGATATCGTAATAGAGAACTGCACACTAAATAGGTTACTTTAGGAGTTCTGGGTGACAGGAGCGAAAGGTGCAAACGACTCTATATATCTCTCCGAGCTTTGTGTACCGTAGGCTATGCCAAGAGCCAACCCTGAATGCTTTTAGCGTGATTTTATGCTGATTCGATAAATATAGTCTCGATACTGGAACTTGTTTATCTAGCTACATAAGGCAGTAAACATTATTTAGACTAATTGTCGGGTAGTAAGCATAGCTCCCGACGAACAGAACCTCCGGTTCCTGGTCGGCAAAAGCAATCGCATAATCTCAAGCAAGGTTCTGTGCGTCGGGGGCTATGCTTACTACCCGACAATTATTCTTAGAAGAAAAAAACCAATAATTGAAGCACTGTGCCTCAATGCGTGTTTGCTACGCCATATCTAAGCGAAGCCACTTACCCGATCTAGTACAGACTTTCCTATTCAACTACTGTATTTGTAGTTGTACTGCATAAATCCGACCACTGTAGAATACAAGAGATAGCAATTTGACGGTAAATACTATCTCCTTTTAGGCCTGATTCTTTTGAACGCGTTTGAGGTGAATTTAATATGAGTACTAGCTATATATGCGATCGACACATATGCAAGTCTATATGTGCAAGTTCATATGTGCTTAGTGAAATTACGTAGGCTGTAATTACATCTGATTCGTAGGACTTCACAAGAACGAATTCAAAGATTAGAACAAGTATCATTTGTTTAATGTTATCAATGCAAAACGAATCTCGTTGATTAGCTTGAGAAAATCAACAGCTTGATGAGCCCTTGTGCTAATTGCCTAATGCTCCTTATATTCCCCTGCTAGATCTCCAAGGTCTTCCTTCACTTCAACGCCGTTGACGCTGAAAGGCTCACAGTCTAGAAGGACAAACACCGCGCGAGCCGATTTCTCCTTAGAACAGTTACGCCATTTGTGCATCGTAGCTCTCTGCACTGAGATATCTCCCGGCCTCATAATACGAGATTCGCCGCTGTCGAGGGTGATCTCCAATTCGCCTTCGATTACAATACCATAGTCAAGAGACATTGCGCGGTGCATTGGCGAGTCCAAACCTGGAGCAAAATCAATGAGCCTAACCACCGTTCCTTTCTTGATATGAAGACCGGGCTATTAAAGGTATGAGTATCATTGATCTTGATATCTTGCTTGGACTTGTAAGAGCACAACATACCTCATTATTCCTTGCATATTTGATATCTGCATCATTCTCCAGGCTCACCGGGTTTCCGCTTGTAGTGTAGATAATGTTCGCTACAGCGTGGCCATTGACCATGATTTTGTGGTGGTCACCATGGTCTGTCGGTAAAAAAATGCCTTTTCCCTCTTCGTTATGAGTGGTCATGAATCGAACGCTGTTTCGCAGATCACCAGCGGGGAACTTTGAGATGGGGCCTTTTGCGGATTGACTTGAGGAGCTCATTGTGATGAGATGGAAGCTTCAAATATATTGGATATCCTACTCCAAGCTGCGACTGCCAAAAATCAAAAATTATGAAAGATAGAATATGATAAGGGTAAGACGTGGAGAATCGCGAGTTTGATTCGAATATGCTTGAGGTACACCATCGCTCTTGGACTTATGTACCAATTTGACCTTCCGCACAAGGATATAAAAGCTGCTTACCAATATGTAGATCAACTCTTCCGTAAATCAGAAGAAGCAAATGCCGATTTGACCTATGTCAGGTTACTTCAAAGGTTAAAATTAAAAATCAAAAAATTGCTGTTTATTTATCACGGGCTGCACTATACAGCAAATCAACACTAATCCATGTGCTTGAGCTCATGCGGTCAGCTAGACACGATTTGAGAAGGTACTCAATCGAAACCTTGCGTTCGCCTCTTTACTGCAGTTCAGGATGTACTCATTTCCTGGATAATTGAAGCAAAATACTTGAATTCTTCACCTAGTTGCCAAAAAAGTCGAAATTCATGATTCAAGTGTAACCACATGGTTCGAAACAGGGTCGCAGAAAGATGGAAGCTAACTTTTGTTCAATCCTTCAAGATTTCTTCTGCTACCACACTCATGCACGTGTTAATGCAACATTCCCAGGGGTTCATATTTGTAAAGGATTATCAATCGCTTATGTGGGGTGCTGTTGAAATTGTGAGTGTGAGGAGACTTATTTGCCATTGGTCAACGTAGTTACTCGCTGGATCAATGCAGCTTCATTCAATTTCGATGAGAAAAATCTCGCATTGGATAAAAAAATTACATAAATGGTGTGAAGAGATCAACCGGAACTTGAGTACAGGGGTTGGTTGGTAGGTAGTATCGTATCTCGCTACTTCTTGTGTAACAACAATAAGACTAGACGTGTTAGAGAGATCTCTGGCTCAATATGTTCAAGCCCCGCTCTGGAAAAGACCTCAATGCGTGATCTTTGGTTTAGTTTTAGTATCTTTACGAATTCTCTTTGCACAGAACCAATTTTGGCTTCGGTGACGTTTGCCTAAGGTACAACACCTAGCTACCTTCTTCAGTGACAGCCAAAATATCGATCGCTTCACCTACCGGACTGATACATCTAAAGCCTTTCGATCCAGAGTCTTCGTTCCAGACACAATCCCATGGCTCTCAACGGCGAGTCATCCATAGAAGAGGCTCAACAACAAGCCAAAAAGCAGGATGAAAAGCTTGATACATCTGCAAGAACAAAAATTACAGCCCCACCTACTAGCAACAAAGTCTATATTCAAGGTCTAAATCTATGGCTGATTGCTTCAACGTAAGTCTGAATTCAGAATTTCAGATCTCAATACTGATGATGGATATCAAGAGTGGCGTTGATGGTATTTCTGGTCGTTCTGGAGATCCCAATCGTTCCGACATGTCTAATCACAATTTCGAATGAGATTGGGGGATTTGACAACGCTAGCTGGGTCATATCAAGTTATCTGCTGGGCAGAATCGGTGAGAAGCTTATGAATAGCCGAGTCTGTGACAGTCTTTACTGAGAATCTCTGCAGGTGTGATGGTTATTTTCGCCAAGTTGAGTGATCTGCTCACTCGAAAGTTCGTATTCACTACATCGATTGCCATTTTCACTGTGTTTTCCGGTGCTTGTAGTGCCTCCAAGACAATGACACAACTGTAAGTTAGATTAACTGTGTGTACGCGGTTCCCCTTCCCGGCCCTTTCTTTTGTCTTTCTCGTCACTGAGTCTCATCGCTGATCTTGATTCTCGTATCTCAGCATCATCTTCCGCGCTTTTCAAGGACTGGGTGCCGGCGGCGCATATTCTCTAAGCACCATCATTCTCATAGAGTTAGTTCCACCCCAGAAACTTGCAAAGTCAACTGCGCAATTGGCAATGGTCACAACCTTCGCGAATGTTCTTGGTCCTATTATCGGCGGTGCAATCAGTAATGATGCTCACTGGAGATGGATTTTTCTACTTAAGTAAGTTTGCAGGATCTTTTGCTACTTCTTACAAGCTGACTTTTTGGAGTGTTCCTGTTGCTGCTGTAGCACTTTTAGTTGCATTGTTCGCTATTCCAAGAAATTTTCCATACCATACCGAAGCCGAATTGAGTATCAGCAAGCGCATCTTTACTGCAAATCCAGACAATTCTCCTTCAGCCGTCCACACAAGCTCCAAAAAGGGCTATCTGCGTGCAAACTTCCTTCCAAAGGGCATTATGCTGGCGGGTAACAAAACACCGAAGAAGCTCGATGTGATCGGAACTATTCTTGTCTTACTCGCGACAGTTACTTTGGCTGCCGGATTTCAGGAGGCAGATTCGAGATTTCCTTGGAAATCTGCATACGTGATAAGTTTACTCATCATATCTGGCGTTCTGTGGATCTTGCTTGTTTTGTGGGAGCGAAGGGTTACTCTACTCGATGGTCCTCAGGAGCCCGTGCTACCCTGGAGATTTTTAACAAGTAAGGCAATGACTGGAATTTTGCTGTAAGTTTGCCACGAAAGCTGTTTCTGTCTACCATAAAACTAAAAATATCAGTCTGTTCTTCCTGATTGGAGGGCCGTTAGTGGTGACTTTATATCAAACTCCTCAGATGTTCCAATTAGTCTATGGACTCAACGGTCTAGAAGCTGGTATAAGAGTTGTACCATTCACGGCGCTCTGGGCCGTCGGATTGCTAGTTTCACCTACCTTAGCCGGTAGACTAAAGGTTCCACCTATCTACATCGTGATGATAGGCTCGTGTATTCAAACTGTCGGCTTTGCCTTGATGGGAACAATACCAGTTACCCTTCAAATTCCTTCCAGAATCTACGCCTATGAAGTTATCGCTGGGTTAGGATGTGGCTTGGTTTTTCCTTTGCTGTTCGTCATGGTACCTTTCGTGGCTGAACCACGCGACAGAGGTAAGTTCTTAGTGCTCTTATCAATATGAAGATCTAATTTGAATTTAGCTGTAGGAATGGCTACAGGAAGTCAGTTCCAAGTCATGGGCAGCACTATTGTGCTCTCGATTGGTACTTCAATCTTCAACGGCCATACCCGAACTCTGCTTGAGTCCCTTCTTGGGGGATCGAGTTCGGCATCGGTCGTTAATCTCGGAGAGACAATTCAAAATCTGCCACACGAAGTACAAGACCAAATCCGACGCGTGCTTGCCGAAGGATACAATCGCCAGTCGCTTCTTCTTTGTGCTGCCGCTGCCGCTCAAGTGCCGGCGGCATTATTATTATGGAGAAAAAAGCAGATTAAAGTTTAGCTACAGTGGTCTGATTTGACGGATGAGATATTCGCGTCACTTAGAATATTTGTGGGTTGGGGAGATGCAATATTAGGCTGGCCCTGACGCAATGCCGGTAGTGTAGATTCTCACTTGAAATATCGATTTAAGCTAATTGGCGCTATGTGTATCTATTTTTCGTCCGAGGCTCATTGCGTAAAGATAGTTTCTATAGTCAAATCAGCCATCAATCTGATACCTACATCCTACATTGATCGAGCAACGACTTTACCCCTGAGTAAAGAAATCGGTAACATGACCTGCGTCTATAACTTACCATCTCGACGAACCAGAGTGCCTATTAGCCATCAGTCGCTGCAATATCCTAGTGTCCCTTGATAGAAAGGAGCACAATGACCTCATGGCTATGTTTTGTTAATAGCCTTGTTTTGATTAGAGTTGTAATTAGCTGAGCCGAATTTTCGTTGGGCTGGCATTTGTCCTAGAAAGTATTTCTAGGGATAAGGAGTAAAAACAACATCAAAAGGAGGTACAGTGGCTCCCTCTTCTGTCATTTCCTATACTGCTTGGTTACCAGGGATGATCTCAAGTGCGCAGGAATCTAGCGAGCTCGGAGTGAGGCAGAGCGGCCATGCAATGCATGCGAGGACAGCAATCACATACTAAAATATATCTTTTTCTAGAATTAAATGAATTTCAGAAACCCCCTACAGTCTTAATCATAATTGACAGACTGAACTCAATCGTATCTAGTATTCTCATTGCCATCGATACCCGTGCGGATGATAATATATAGACCCTGTTTATCATAATCACCCAGCTCCGATATCTTCTTGCTCGTCCGGAATTCTTGCGCCTTCGCCGGCCCTTCGAATTTTACTGGGTAATATCATCAGTTAATATCTGAACAACTATAAATTCTTAAGTGCCTAATCAGATTATTCACCCTACTCCTTAGCGACTTCTTCCATGGTTTACCCTGGAACCACTCTTGTTTGTAATTGCCTTAATCATGATTTATACCCACGAGACGGCAACTAGCTGATTCGCTTAGTAAAAGTTATTAGTTGAGGGGAAGGCGTTGAAGTACAAACTATTTCTAATCCGGAATCCCCATAAATAGCCCCTTTCCCCCAAATATCTCCTCTTCTATCATATTCTTACTCCCGTCTGAATATTCTTTGGGGGTGAGAAGATTAAAGGTAATAACTTCTATAAGGGAATATTAAAAGAAATAGAAGTTATTAATACTAATTATATACTATAATTAGTAATATAGTTATCTAAATAGATTAAATTAAACAAATTATAAATAGATATATTAGTTCTCTTTAAAAAGAGTAAGAGGGGATTAAAATATTGATATGCGTAGTAATATAGTAAATACAAAGGCCTCTTCCACTCAATCATTTAATATTCTTTATCGTAAAGATAGAGATATTTATACTTCTTATATTAATTTAATAGTCTATAATTGTTATTACTATAATATTTATAAAGAATAAATTTAAACTCATAGTGTAACGATTCGGCCTTAAGCCTTGATTAGTTACTCATTTATCCCATTAGGCAGGGCAAATCACTTTATTTAATCTTGATTCTATTTTGGTTTTATTCTGATTCTATTTAATAGGATTTATAAAAGTTTTCTTCAGGCTTACTCTTTATATAATAGTCTATTATTCTTTAATTAATGTAATGTATGGGGAACTCGAATATATAGGGAACTTGGATACTTTTAGCCTATTATCAACTTGAAATTATAATAACTTTTATTATATATATCTAATTATCTTTTATATTTATTTAAATTAAAGAAAAGCTTTAAAAAACTATAATTTCCTTTCAATTGAAAGAATTTAAATCAATTAGAAAAACTATAAAGCATTTTAAAATTCCTAAGTCTATTTTAGCTGATAGATTAACTAAAAAGAAAATATATTCCCAAATCTACAAAATAACTTAAATTCTTTTAAATATAAAAGAAAATATTTTTGTATAATAGATTTTATAATTTATTATTATTGGATTTCTTATTATATCTATATTAATAAAGGAAATAACCAATAAAATTTGTTTTCAATATATTCAGATTATATTATCTCAAAATCCTATCTCAATAGAAATTCTATTTATAGATTATAAATAAATTTATAAATTCCAAAAATGATATTTAGAATTTAAAATATACTATTTATATCAATTAAAGTTTAATTAGACTAAAAAAATAATTCCGGAGAATATTTAGGTTTAATTTAATATATTTTGTATGTATTTTATTAAGCAAAAGTATAAATTAGATAATATATATAATATAAATAAAACTGGATTTGGAATTGGAAATATTTAAAATATTTGTATAATAATTGATTCTATTTAGAAATTGAATTGAAAAGTTATAGCTAATAAACAAAAATAAATAATTATATTTGAATATATTAATATAAATAGAAATACTTTATTACTTATAATTATTTTCAAGATTTAGAATATAAATTCTATATAAATTCTAAAGAATATATTTTAAAACTAGTAGTTTTTTATTAATATAAATAGATGGATTTCAAATAATTATAAATTAGAATAATTAAAAAGAGTTTTCGAATTAAAATCTAAAAAAGTATTAGATAATTGATTTTGACTTTTAATTATAAATAGTTATTCAAGTTATATTATAAATAACTTTATTACTTTTTGTATAAATAATAATATTGATTTATTTATATTATTTTCTTAATATTTTTATTTATTTTAATTATTTAATATTATAATATATAAATTAATAAAATGATATTATACTTTAAAGATTGATTAATATTCTTGAGTTAATATAAAATAAATCTAAAAAGCTGAATAAATAAAACTTTTTTAAAATATTAAAAAAAAAGTATTGAATTCTTTTAATATTAAAATTAACTAGAAAAGAGTTGATTTAATATCTTTTGCTTTATGAAAAATATTTGATTTATTATTATTTAATTTCTCCTAATAATTTTTTATTTTATAAATAAAAACCCTTAATTAAAATCTAGATTTGTTTATACTCAAAAATTCTTTTTCAAATAAAATAGAACTAAAATAAGCAAATTAGATTTTTAATATAGTTTTAATAAATAATAATTCTTTTGTATTACTAATTTATTAATATACTAAAAGAATAATTAAATTTATAGAATCTCAAAATATTAAGATAACTTTATTTTGAAAATAACTCTTTAATATTCAAAAAGTAATTGAAACTTAAAAAAAGAAAATTAAAAACAAAAGAATCAAATTATAAAATCAATTTGTTTTTAATACTAAGAAAATATTAAAAATAATATATAAAACAAAAGAAAAACTAAAAAAGAAAAAGCTATAAGAACAGCTATATAAATATTCAATTAAAAAATCAAAAGAAAAGATTGAAAAAAAAAAACTAAAGAATAATCCAAATAATTTGGAATTGGAATTAAAGGATTATATAACTCATAGAATAGGATCATATATAAAATAATTGAAAAAGTATTAAAGTTCCCTATATGTTCAAGTTCCTTATATATTATATTATAATAATTGATTTATTTTATTATTATAATTCAACTTTATTATTATTATATTATAACAAACTTTTAATACTATTGAGAAGGATAGAATATTTTTTGAGAAAACTATAATATTTAATTAATTATATTTCTTTGGGGTTATTAAATTAATAATTTATTTAAATAATATTATTCAATTATTATTAGCTAATAATATCTTCTTGTTGAATATTAATATACTAATAATCTAATAAAAACTATAATTTAGAATAACAGTTTTAGTAAGAATAGGAAGCTAATATGAGAAATATATTATATGAAGGAAATAAAGAAATAGAATTTAATTAATCCGATTTTTCTTTTTCAAAATTATTAAGATAAAATCTTTTGAATTTCTTTAATATTAATATAATAGTAATGGCTAGGCTTTAAGAGTTATTTTTGGAATAATTATTAAAATAAGAAATATATAGTTAGTAGAAATTGTTATTATTTAAAAGTAATTAAATAGATTATAATATTGAATTTATTAGAATTTTATTTATAATGTAGAAATATCTTTGAAAATCTTATAGGAATTTTTTCTTTAGTTGAGATATATAATAGTTTTATAGTTTCTTTTGTTTTTAAAACAAGATTGAATATTAGGGTGAAAGATTTAGAATTCTTAAATAATAAAATTAACTTTATATTCGAAATATAAAGATTATTTGTTAAAAAAAAATTTTAATAATATTGATTATTATTCGAATAAAGATATTAAAGTAAAAGCTATTTTCTAGTAGATTATAAAAAAAGTTTAAAGATATTTTAAATTTAAAATAATATCTAAAGATTTCAAAATATTTATAAAATCTTTAAATTATTTTGAAAATATATATTTAGTTTTTAATTAATTGGAATTAATTATTAAGAAGTTTTGAGCTTTAAAAATAAATAATAATATATTTTATTAATTTTATATTTAATTTTTAGAATTAATTATAAAATCGGATTAATCAAAGAAAAATCTTTATAAAAAACTAATTATAAAAATATCTCTATTATTAAAGAATATAATTATTATTATTATAAATAGCTACTTTGATTTTCAAAAATATGTTTTTTATTTAATTAATATAGATATAAGAATATATATTAACTATTTAAAAAGCTTGATAATATTAAAGTAAATATTTCAATATTCAAAAGATTACTTTTAAATTTTTTATAATGTGGTGGAATGCCAAATCAAAAAAAATCTACTCTTATCAGATTTATTAAAAAGAGTTTTATAATTCCTAAAGTTTTATTTAATTAGAAATCTCATTTTTTTGAAACCTTAGAAAAGTATTTTATATATAGTATTTCTAATTGGAATAAAGATTATAAATATTTAATAAAAATTAATAAGATTGATAAAGTAAAAGAAAATTTCCTTATTATAGATAACTAATTATATTCAGAATTAATCTTTGATTTTAATTTATATAAATTAAGAAAAGATTAATTTTT